TATTTATATGTTGTATATTTTAATATATATACGTTTCATATATATATAAAGTACCAGTGGTTTTCTCTTCCAGAGCAATAATGAAATTTCACAGTATGAAAATGGAAGAAATCAACAAAATTATTCGTGACCTTTGGCGAAGCACCTACCGTGGACAAGGTAATTGACCTGGTGTGTGACCAACACCCTTTCCAAGTCCCTGTCGTCATGCCAGTATTACCTCCCTGGACGCCTTTCTGAACGTCTCTTTGAGATTTTTCTAGGAATTCTTACCTTGACAACATCTTGTAGCAAGAAGAAAATGTAAAATTTTCTATTCCAAAGCCTGACAGGACTTGCGTATTTGGCTGCAGTAGACATTGTGTTTAGCTGATGACTTAACAGGTTCTGTTGAAGTGCAGATAGGGATAAACCGAAACGTGGTAAGAAGAAAACCATTTGGAGGAAACTCTTAGTAGAGGAACTAAGACAGGGTTGGGGCATCTGGGTTGCTTCTGGCCAGACCCGCGGGATCCTGAGTCTCCTAGCCAGGGAAACAGGCTCCAGACCAGCCATGGTTTCCCTGGTGATGTCAGCCTCACGCGCCATCTCTAGGCTTACTCGGTAGTGTTTGTAAATGACAGAAGGCTGCAGAGTGTCGGTTCCTCTGAAATATTCTTCTTTCTGTGTCAGATATTGAATACATAGAAATTCGGTCTGATGCCGATGAAAATGTATCAGCTGCTGATAAAAGGAGGAATTACAACTACCGGGTGGTGATGCTGAAGGGAGACACGGCCTTGGACATGCGAGGACGATGCAGCGCTGGACAGAAGGCAAGTGTCTCAGGCTCAGCTGCTGTCCTAACACTGTCCTAACGCCGACCACCCTTTCCTGCCACACAGGGACCTCCTAAGAGAGGGGCTTGAAGCCTTCCCACAGCACAGGCTAAACGTAGAATAAGGAGCTAAAGACCCTTCGTTGTTTCGTGGTACTCCTTATCAGAATAAGGTCACTGTATCATCAATTACAAAACACACCACCATTTTATGTGCCACCAGGAATGAAAAAATGCAGTTTATAACCATAAGATGCATTCAGATTTCAGAGAAGTCAAATGGGGCTGGGGGATATGTTTTAGAATCAGTGACATGATAGTATCAGCAAGCCAAGTCCTAGGTTGAGCCAATGAACCAGTCTAAATAAGAGAATCTCATTGAGAAAGTGGCCCTCTCAGGGGACTGAGTCCCCACCAGCACCTCAAGAGAGCCACGCCTGCTCTTGGGCCTGCAGCCCATCTGGAGGAAGGGTCTGCCGGAGTCGATGGCCTGGATGCCCGCCGGTGCCTCCGCCCCGTCACCACACACAGCCTACGCCGGGTGCGAAGCACAGAGCCAATCAGAAAGAGGAATCGAGTTTGAAAGAGTCAGGAAAATGGGGCCTGCATCTCTGAGGAGCAGGTGTCCAGGTCTGTGCCAAAGATGACCCAGATCTTGAGCTTTCTCTTTTCAGACTAAAGCAGATGATTACATCTGATGACACCTCTGGACCCCTGGTTTTCTTAACATCATAAAATCTTAAAAATGGACATGTTTCTGAGCTATTTGCATAGTTTTCAATTTTTGCTTAAACACGCACTATGTCTGTATGTACATGTCAGCTCAAGACAGCTGATACCAAATTTAAGGCTCTGCAGATTACTATCTAAATCATAGTCTACAACAGAGACAAACTTGTCATGTATAATCAGTATCTCTACTTTGGTGACTTTTAGTGGGCGTTATAAATGAGAAAATACAAAGATTGAAACATGGTCTCTTTGGGTTAAAAATACTTTCTGAGCAAAAGTAGATTTCCTATAGCTAATCTAAATTATGAAAATTAATTAGCAATAATTGCTTCCTTGGTGTGGAACAAATGGTTTGGTGGAGGTGGGCCTAACCCCGGCGTTGGCCGAGGCCCTAGAAGCCAGCCTGTGGGTGGGGGTGGAGCAGTGGGACGCAGGGGCAGGAGGGCGGTGCCCGTCCCTTCCCTCCGCGGGCCAGGCTGCCGCTCTGGCTCCTGCATTCTGCTGGCCTCCCCTGGGCATCAAAGAGAAGGTGTAAACTGTTCCGAAGTCAACAACTCTCTCTCTGATGCCCTCCCACTCACAGATTCAGGGAGAGAGGGGATTTACAGCTCACACAGAGTTTCTACTTCCCGGAATAGTCCTACACTCTTAATTCTGTGTCCCTTGTCCCCTCAAATGGCTTCAGTTGGGTCTGAGGGTTTTGGTGTTGGGTTTCTAGGAACATGAAAGTGCGTAAGAGTTCCGGTGACTTGGATCTCCCACAGGTGAGCTCACAACCACATTTCTACACGTACACCCTGATTCTTTGACCCGTGTCTCCCCCCTTAAAATTATACACACAAAACTGGGAGATTTAAAGGTGACTGTAAGAGAGAGAAAGTCTATGTAAGGCTCTGGAAAATGTGTCGAAATCTTTTAACAAATCTCATTTCATTATCAGGACAATGAAATAGCCAGGTCAAGAATTCAGGTTGTTATTCTTACACCTTCAGTCAGATAAATGGTAACGTGTGTCTGTTTAAAGCCTGGGATTTCAAGTATTTGTGTGTGGGGGCGGGGGGGGGGATCAGTGCAGTTTCGAGCTTTTTATTTCATTGGAAATAAAATTGGTGAGGGTTTGGTCACAGCGCCGGGCTTTCCCCGAGAGCAGCGACTTACCAAACACGTGACCCTGTGACATGTGCCCACCTTTCCCTTCTAAAGAGATGGTGCCGGGTCTGCTTAGCTGTCTGCCGTGAGGGGGTCTGTGTGTGCGTCTCACTGAGGGGCTGTTTTCCAGGTGTTGGCCTCACTCATCATCCGCCTGGCCCTGGCTGAGACATTCTGCCTCAACTGTGGCATCCTTGCCTTGGACGAACCAACAACAAACCTTGACCGAGAGAACATTGAATCTCTTGCACACGCTCTGGTTGAGTAAGTAGCTCACGTTTGAGGGCAGGGGTGCTAGTTTTTTGAGAATCCTGTGGGAGACACGCTCTTGCTGCGTCCAGCTGGTGCCGGGCCCTGGGCTTTACCTTTGATCATAATTCTTCAGAGCCCTGAGAAGGAACCAGGTGGTGAACAGCAGCCCCAGACACACCTGCGTCTCCCCAGGTGTGTTCACGGGGACAGTGACCGCAAGGGGTTCCTGGCTGGGTCTGGTTTTCCCATAAAGCCCTCAGAGGAACCGCGTGTCGTGCACAGGCGTCGGCGTGCCCTGCTGAGACAGCTGTAGGTGGCGGTGGTGAGCTCGGTGCTGTCTCGCGTGAGGAATGCAGAGCTGTCACTCAGAAAGCACGTTAGTGATCAAGTAGAAGCCAGAGAGGGTAGCGCTGCACACACCTTTTCGCCACACTCACCTGTGGTGGGCACAGACTCCACAGTGAGCCAGGCCTTGCTGAAGGAGGCACTCCTGGCTCCAGCGTGACAGCCGGGAGGAGGACAGAGCAGCCCTGGGCCTTCTTTCTCCAGCTGTCTCCGTCGTCCTCTTGGAGCAGCAGGGAAGGGCCAGTGCTTTTGCTGTCTCAGGTGCGTCCAGCTCTAGGCAAGGGATGCGTAAGTGGGTAGTTAAAGTCTTTCGGGTCTCAGTCTCATAGCTGGTTACCTCAGCATGTAAGTAATGAGCAAAAACGTTCCCAGAACACCCACTCAGGCCCCCGAGTGTCACGGTAGTGATGCATCTAGTGACTGGTAGTGGCAGAATTCTAAGTAGACCCAGCTCTTAGGAAGGCAGTGTTATTCCCCTTACCTGGAGTCGGTCTTTAGTCTTCTTACCAGTTCTCTCTTGAAGAAAATTTTAACAGGTCAGGAAAATTCAGGCAAAGGAGTGTCAGACTCCTCACCTTGAGCAGTTTAGGTATTAAGGAATACTCTAAAAAACATCTCTACCTGCTTTAGTAAGAACTTCTGATCTAAAAGAAACTAGTTCTTGTATTCTTAGCAGTCCCTGAGCCAGACCTAGGTGAGGAAGGAGGCCACGTAACCACTGTCTAGAGAGGAGACGGAGCCTACGTGGCTGGCCTGCTCCCCCCCCGCCCAAACCACTGACCTGAGTCGTCACGGCGTACGTCCACGTGTCTAACACGGTTCACGGGTTTTTTCAACTAAAAGAAAGGGTTGTGCTCTTTAGTAATAAAATGTTCTAAATATATTGTTTCAGGATAATAAAAAGTCGCTCACAGCAGCGTAACTTCCAGCTTCTGGTAATCACTCATGATGAAGATTTTGTGGAGCTTTTAGGACGTTCTGAATATGTGGAGAAATTCTACAGGATTAAGAAGAACATTGACCAGTGCTCAGAGATCGTGAAATGCAGCGTTAGCTCCCTGGGATCTTACGTTCATTGAAAAGAAACAGGTCCTCAGACAACTGCTCATTTCTGCTATCGAATATGTTCTTTAAAAGTAACTTTGTGTCTAGGATTTTGAATAATTGTTTCACATGCAATTTGCTGTTTTCCGAGTCCCCTGAATTTCATCCTCCTCCAGGCCTGTGGGGTTCAACAGCAGCACTGTTGAGAGACATTCTCAGAGCCTTGAACATCTATGGTTTGGGTATTAAAAAAATACATCAGTATTAAAAATACATCAGTATTAAATGTTACCTCTGAATTTACTTCCTTGCATGTGGTTCAAAAAAACTGAGTTATCAGTGAGTATTTATTAATATCTGAAGATGACCAGAAATGATTAGGTTTTAATATCTGACTCTGCTCTTAACTTTGTAAATCCATGCAAATGCCCTCTCTCTGAGCCTTGGTTTCCTCAACTAAAATTTGAAGTAGTTGACTGGGGTCTCAGGGTTTGGCAGGAGCCGTAAATCACGTAACTCAGCACCCGCCTTCCCTCCCCACACGGCCCTGCCCGTCATTCCAACTGGGGCTCTCGCAGCCAAGCAAACTCCCCGCCGTGCGCGTCCGCCTGTGGAAAGCCCCGACCAAGAATGAGGCTTCTCCTCAACCGAGGCCTGATCCGCCCATAATGAAGAAATCTGTGCCTACCTGTCCTCCGTGTCCCTCCTGGGTACCATCTTGGCCTCGCCGTCAGTCCTGATGGCGCTCCCAGCGTGCGCTCCGGCGCAGAGGCAAGACCTGCTCCCAGTGGGGTCCAACCAGATCTGGAAGAACAGGCCTGTCATTGTCCCTTCATTTCCAGTAGAAACCCAGTCACACTCTCTCCTGGAATTGCTAGCTGGTATCTTGAATCCTTTTGCGAGCATTCCACACAGGATGCAACAAAGTCACACACTGGGGGTTGCCATTTGTGGAATTTCGTCACTCAGGACCATGTGAGTCTCGATTCAGTCACGTGGCAGTTCCGTGCCATCTGTAGATTGATGAGCACACTGTCTAGACAGCCTCTCTCACCCAAGGTTCAGGAGAGAATTAAACCCTAAGAGCCTTAGGTAGCTGAACTAGGCTAAACAGTGGCCCCCAAAGACATCCAGGTCCTAATTCCTGGAACCTGTGAATGAATGTTGCCGTATGTGGCAAAGGGGACTTTGCCGATGTGATTAAAACTAGGGATCGGGAGATTGTTCCGGTGAGTCCCAGATGTAATCGCGAGCATCGTGATGAGGGAGACAGAGGCAGGACCGCGGGGGAGGAAGCAGCGCGTTGCTGGGTGCCGACCAGAGACGCACTCGGAGGATGGGGGAAGGGCCGTGAGCCAAGGAGCACAGGCAACCACTGGAACCCGAGAAAGGCAAAGACACAGTCTCCCCTCAGCCTCCAGGAAGAGCCAGCCCTGCTGACACCTGGCCTTGAGTTCACTGAAAACGATTTTGGACCCTGGCCAAAAATTTGTGTTGTTGTAAGCTGCTGAGTTAAAGGTAATTTATCACACAGCGGGAGGAAATGAACACACCACCCTTTGTATCTAATCAATTTCCATGCATCTAAAATGATACCAGTTACGTACCATTCTTGATAGAATTTTGAGAAAATTACTGAAATCATTTTCTGTGTCCTGTGGCTCACGTGAAGGGACCTGGTCGTGAAAGCCCCTCGCCAGCCCCAGAGCAAAAAGCCGAGCGGCAGAGCCAGCACCACGGCCCTCCTTGCAGCGAGGTTCCGTCGTCCGCTACGCGGTTTTAAGCATCAGTCATCCCTTTAGCTTGATAAACTAAAATCACTGATCTTCCAAATTAGCATAATCCTGACAAAAGTATCAAGAGAAAAAACAGCAGACCAGTCTCAGATTACAGATCAGGAATTCCTAAATTAGGACCAAATCAATTCTAGTCACATATTGAACATACACAATAACCAAGGTATTTTTATCCCCAAAATGCAAGAATGTTTCAGAAAATGATCTGTTCATAAATCACTACAGTAAAGCCAAAGGGGAAAAATTCCAATAGACACCTAGCAACTACATTTGGTAAAATTCAACATCTAGTTTTAGCAAACTCTTAATTTTACAAAGAATACTTTCCTAATGTTACCTGTCATCAAATCAAAATTAAACGGTTACTTTAATAGCAAAAGATAAAACTAAATATTAAAACCAGTTACCTTCTATCAACATGTTTCTGAAAGCTGTTAGTCATTGCAACAAATAACAAGCCAGCACAAGATAATATATCGGCAGTGAAACAAAATTACCATTTACAAATTAAAACACTTGCCAGTTTCAAATCTGGTTTCCCCAAGTATGTGGCTTCCCTCGCAGCCCTTTGCAGATCGGCTGCTTTCACCTCCAAGAGGTCAGTGGCCTAGAGGTTCGACAGGTCCTCTTCTGCATTAAATTTCCCTGCTCCCTGCACTCGGAGTGCGTCGGCCTCACGGTGTGGGGCTCTGGGTGAGCCAGGCTGCCTCGGCTGAGATCCTGACACCACCACTCACGAGCTGTGGGACCCTGAGCAAGTTAGTGATATTTATCCTGTTTTGCTTCTGTTTCTTTTTCTGTAGAAGTGGGTAAAATGGTACCAAGCTTGTAGGACTGTTGTGAAAATTAAATGACTCTATCTTTACAAACTGCTTAGAGCTGCTTGGCACGAAGTAAGGACTATGGTTTGTTCAAGAACATTCCTATCGTCAGGTCACTCTTTCTCGCGGCAGCTTCCCGACCCCCGGCCTGGTCACTCCCCCTTTCTCGTCCAAAATTTCAGCTCCCCATTCGGCATCACTCCGATACTGATCTCATAATCATTGGTGATTTCAGCACCAAACGACGGTCTGACAGACCCCCCGGCCTCTCTGCTCCTGGTTCTCTCGTCCAGCGAGAAGACACTCGCTCCACGGTCCTGCTCTAGAGCCCGGTCCTCTTAGTAACAGTGACTGCGACCCTGCAGAATCTCGGTTTTGAGCATCTCACTCTCCGACAACACCCCGGTACCCTTACGGTTCACTCCCGGGTCTGCAACCCCAGCCATACTTTGACCCTCACCACGGTTGCAATCCACCGATGCTACCGCTCGTTCACGGTTTTTTCCCTCCTGGCTGGACTTGTCTCTCCTCCAGCTTAAACTCCATGGCCCATGGTTCTGTCATCCTCCACTGCACGGCCCCGCCCTGTCCTCAGACCCCCGGCAGCTGTTTCCCCCGCAGCTGCCCTGCCCCCGTCGCCATGCCCGAGTGCTCGCACCGAGCCTGCTCCTCTTCCTTCTCTGCTCTTGCGTATTTGATGATCTCGTCCGGTTTCTTAGCTTTCAAATTACTGTCTTAGTTTGGGTTCTCCCAGAAGCAGAACCTGAAACGGCGCTTCAAGTGAAAGTGATGAGTAGGGAATCGGGGGTTGTGCAGAAGGGGAAGGCAGCCCCTGGGGGGTTTGCCGTCAAGCCAAACGCCACAGTGGGTGACTGGAGCTTAATCCCACCGGGACCCTCTGGGGAATGTGGCAAACCATATGCCTCAAGTCGCCCCACTTGGGGGACAAGAGACGGGGCATCTACACACCACCTTCCCAGCGTTACCGTCTGAGGGCTGTTCCAGCACGTTAGTTACTGGTTTGCCGTGTGCACCGGCAGCAGCTGGCCGTTGGCAGGAGCGCTTTGGCGGTTCCTAGGATACAGGCAGGGCCCTGACGGCTCTTGTAACAACCATCTCGATGCCGATGGCTCCCAGAGGTTTGTCTCCAGCCCAGATCTCTTCTAAACTCTAACTCACATTCGGCTGCCTGTGGACAACTCAATGTCGATCTGCACTTAAATACCCAGTAGACATCGGAAACCTAAAACGACCAAAACCAATCTTGCTCCCAGAACCTGCATCTCCTGTAGCTTTCAGTTGATGGCAGCTGCATTCTTTCAGCTGCTCAGGCAAAAGTCGTGGCATTACCCTCGACTCTTTGCATCACACCCCACATCGAATCCATCGGTTTCATACCGTGGGTTCAACTTGCAAAACACATCCAGGAACTGCCCGTGCCTCCCCACCTGAACCACGGCTGCTCTGGGCCAACCCACTTCCATCTATGACCTGAACGGCGCGAGTAACTGCCTGACTGCTCTCACGATTTAGGCTGCAGCCAGTGATCTTTTTAAAGGGTAAATCAAGTAAATGTGTTTCTCACAGGGATACGGGTTAGCCATTCTGAAACTACTTTATGTATGTTCTAAAATCAAACAAATACATGTAGATAATACAAACTGAGTGTGCCATTGTTGGGAAAAGATGTTTGCGTATCAGAAAAGGGGACAGGCAATAAAAAGAACCCTGTTTGAATTGGTTGGTTGAATCCAAAAGATCAGTATAAATTTACAGTTTTAATATGTAAAGGATTTCTACTTCCATAAGGGGGGAGTAAAGACCCCTAAAAATCTGCTCCTCCATAAAAGCAATAAGACTTGCCAAAAATGTCAACATCAACTCTTCAGGAACTTGACTTTTAGTTAATTTTTTTCAGAAACTAACTAAAGGCTAGCAACAAGCTGAAGCGTGTTTATTAAAGGAAAACAGCCGAGTCTCTGCAGAAGCAGCCAGTGGCGTTTTAACTTGCCCTAGTTCCACTCCCTTCTCCCTGGTTCCGTAGTAGCCCTCTGAGTACCGTGTCTGTGAAAAACAGCAGCCTGGTAACCACAGGAGGGGGCAGATGGATTTAGAGCTCCCCCAAATTTCCATCGCCAGAGGACTGCCACTATTTGACTTATCCGGCAGCTCACTGAAAAGGTCTGTTCTCGGCACCTGATTCAGAGTCACTCTGCAAACAGCCCTCCCTGCAGGGCCAGCAGTGGCAGATGGTTGGCACTGTGGCTGCCTGAGGCAGGTGTTACCGTTGGGGCTAACAAGAGGCTGAGCAAAAAGCTGAAAAGGAAAAACTGAGGCAGATGTCTGTGGGAGCACTGATAAGCTTGACCACATCCCTGGCAATCTACAAGTCCCTGTGCAGGGCTGTGTGCACGCCCAGGAGAGACCCGAGACGCCCTAAGCTCTCAGCCCTGGCCAGTCCTGAGCCTCTACTCATGCAGGAAGTGAGGGTGAAGGCACAGTTGTAAACTGCCTGCTGGAGACATGATTTGACAAGCAGACGCACACTCAACAATAACTAGAAAACTATTGGCTCAAAGCATTAAAGGAAGTCGCTGTCCAAA